TCACTATCTATAATGTAGTCGAACCTTGAATACCTTAGCAGAAACTGAAATGAAGGAAAAACAAGAATTGGATGCAAAAAATGAATATGAAAAGAAATTAGCTTTTCTTACTACTGCATATGTAGAACATCTTGATGGAGATTATCTGTTTCTTCAAATGTTTGAAAATGACAAAGGTTTATAAATTTATTTCTACATATAATAATTACTTCTTTACCATTTATTTCCACGTATCAACATATATGAAATTATTATGTATATTAATTTTATATATAGAGGGTAAAGAACTATCTATGGTAAATGAAGATACACAAAATGCTTTTGAACAATATAAAATAAACTTTATTACTATATGTGAAGAATTATGTGAAATAGGTATAAAAGAAAATGACAAACGAATGGGAGAAATAAATGTTTTTAATACTGCTGTAAATGAGGGTAAAACTGCTTCACAAAATCAAGGCAGAATGTAAATAATATTATATATCATAAGTATAAAATGTAAGATATAAAGTAGTAGTAGCAATATATGTATATCAAATTACAGAATTGTGAATGGAGTATTACAAAGAAAAACTGTTATTATAGCAAGTATTAAACAATTACTAAAAAAATTGGTTGGTGATGTAGATATTACTACATTGGAAGATATAAGTCAAAAAGCACAACAATTCTCTGAAGAATTTAATGATATGATAACTGACGCATGGACAAAATTAATGTCTATTGAAGTAGAATTGCATGAACAAATAGAGGTACGTTTTAATTTAAACAAGCTTTGTATATGGGAGTTATACTGAAAAAATTATTAAACAGCATTTTATCTGCCAAAGGATATTAGTGAAGTATTTAGAATGAATCTTTCTGACATGGTGGATGCTTTTTTGACAAATGTACGAGGATATTTTTCACAATTACGTAATTGCGAGGCAGAATATAATGACACTGTTAATGGGGCAATTTTATACTACCTTAGTGGTTTTGGAGATGATACAAAAATGCCACAACATATGCTAAATTTATGTGAAGATAAAGACATGTTAAATTACAATCTTAACAATTCTCATGATAAACATTTGCAAGTAAGTATATATTTCTAATTTTCATGTCTTGTAAATTAAAGTAATATACTTTCTAATTATAGGTAATAGATACTCGAGAAGATACTATGTTAAATAGAGTAAAAAATTGGCTTGAAGAGTATAGTGAACAATTAATAAAGTAAGTTAGTCTTATCATGAGATACTTTCTTAGTGCAGATACTTTCTTTTCTTATAGTTTATAATACATTTATTTTAATTCAATAGGTATGAGAGTGAAAGAAATAATCAGCAAATACTAGAAACCTCACATTTTGCAGATTCTCAACAACAAGAACTTTTACAATTATTACAACAATTAAATTTAAATGTTAATGATTCAGAAGTTATATTAGCACTTGATACATAAAATACGGTAACATATTCGTAAATGCGTTGTTTTGGAGAATTAGTATAAAAGAATTTTTGTTAAATTGCATTAATTTATTATATAATATAGTATTAACATTAATATATTCTTATATAAAATATTTTGGTTTTATAAAATCCATATAAAAATGATAAATTTAAAATACATGGATTTAGAAATAACATTTGAGTACATATTTCTTATTTTTTCTTTAAAGATTCAATATATAATTTTAAACCAGCTTGTACTTCTGGTAATTGAGCAAATGTTACAAATTCATTTAGATCCATGCCTCTATTTACTTTCAACCAAAGTGAATTACGTTTTCTTAATTCCATTTTTGTTTTTAGTCGACCTTTAGCTTTATAAACATTTTAAAAGAAATGTATTTTGAGTTTATATTTCTCAAGTAATTAAACAAATGATATACTTACAAGGTATACTTTTAAAACTGTTAATATAATCTTGACATTTTTTGATTGCATTGGCTTTATCAGAAGCTAATTCATCTACAAGTCCGATTTCTAGTGCCTCTTTTGGATGGAATAGAGTTCCTCTAAATTAATACTTTTTAATTAATTATCAGTATTTTAAAAAGGTAAACGTTTTATTAGATATTTACAAAATAATGAATTACCGTAAAAGTGCTATTTCAGCTTTTCTATAACCGATTGTTTCAATGTAAAGATTTCTAAACCACTCTGGAGCAACAATTCCTAATTTTGTTTCGTTTAGTCCTATGGTATGTTTTCCTTCAACTAAAACTCTATACTCACAGGAAAGTGCTAATAAGCATCCCCCAGCTGGACTGGAACCCTTTGTAGGTAAAAATACATTAGAAATATTTTTGTGCTTTAAAAAAATAATCATGTCTATCCTTTGTATCATAATGTTAAGTATTTTGTTAATAATATCTGAAATAATACATTAATGGCAGCAGCTATTGGTATTTGCAAATTATATAAAGTTAACCATGTATCTTGCAATGTATGCCAATATTCAGTTAGTTGCTTTTCATTCCTATCATACATTTCCATTATGTCAAGGCCTGCTGAGAATACATTTGGTAATGAAGATGACAATATAACACCTTTACACTTTTGATTTTGTATATTCTTTAGAGATGTGTTTAAAGTATTTAAGAGTTCCCTATTCAAACTATTTACAGGTGGGCATGCCATTGATACTGTAGCAATACCTATTAAATAAAATCATTAAGTAAACATTATTCAATAAAATTACTTATAAAAACTTCATAAAATTCAAAATTATAACATTACCTGTATCATCTTCATGTGTAACTTCAATTAGCTTAGAATTTATGGTGTAAGGTCTATATAAAGGAATTTGTATTCTACTGAAAATTCTTTTTACTGCAAACATGTTTAAATGTAGATTCAGTTCTGTTACCAAAAGTAATATAATACACACACACACACACACACACACTAAATTTTCTTTATCATTTACTGTATGAACATTGGTTATTTTTATATATTACAATATGTCGTTATGTTACTGATGTAGAACGTTTTTTACATTAAAATATTAACATATGTTTACTCTTATTAATAAAGTATAATGTAATTAAAGGTACAATATGTCTTCTGCTATTGGGGAACAGTATTTTGATAACCAATTCTGTAATATCATTAAAAAATAACTCTGTATGCAAAACAAATGGATGAATTGATTATAAGATGGATTTATTTTGTTGCTTTCCCCCCATACTCAATAACGAAAGAAAAAAAAATTATTCGCAAATCATTCAAATAACGCACTTGTAAGAATGGAACGGACCGGACTGGAACAGAGTGGATCGCGGGCAGGTGCTAATATGGCGGCTATTCTGCTTTATAGTTTCGTGACATCGCCCTTTATCTTAACATTTTTTTAAGAAAGTTATAAAAGTTCAGTCACCGTGTAACAAAAAAACAATGTCTTAAATGGGCCTGGTTATGTTTGATAAATAAGTCAGCTAGCAAAATGTCAACCAGATCGCAACTTACGAAAGATTTAAACGGTTTGTCTTCTACTGAATGTTTACGTTCGTATCATCGAACTGTCACACGTCGAAAAAATACATTTATTCTTTTAAATAGTCATTGTTTAATAAAGTTTATAAAAACATTGATAGTTTTCCTTTTTTTTGACGAGTATGCAAATTGAGTTACGATGTAATTTTATAAATATTTTTATTGGTTTTGCACTTTCTATGATGTACCTATTTCAGTATAGTTTTTCATAAATTATTCATTCTTTGTAGAATCGGTGAAAGCATTACTCGGTAAACATGTCAAGATACTGTTAAAAAACGTTGTAAAATTGGAAACAAAACAAGATAAGCAGGAAAATCGTGTTCTGGTAAGTAAGATTTAGTGTCAAAATATAATTCAAAATAAATTTGGTTATTTGGAACAATAATGTAATGAGAAATTAAATTTTTATATTTTAAGGTTTTTTCACCATGCCGTCTATTTCTTTTAACGGCAAAAGTGCCCACAAGAGTGAGATTATATAATTATTTTGTTGTTGAGATTAGATGAGATAAGTTACATGATTATTTTACTACTTGTGTATTAATTTACAGATCGACTGCCATTTTCATTACTTAGAAATAACATCCATAGAATCCAAAAGAGCAAATCAATTATCTTTAAGTGTTGGAGAAAGATATTACAATTTTACTACTACAGGAGCAGGTGCAGACACCACAGAAGTAGATGCAATGATTGAGGCCTTACATACTGCAATTCGAAATATCTTTCCCACTGTACCATTAAAGTATGTGTCTATTATTTTATTATGTATTTATTTTTTATTGTTGTAAATGTGGAATAATTGATATTAATGTTATAATTGTTATCACAGTTATATTATAAGAAAAATAGAAGTAATACCAGCTAGTAGATTACAGAGCATAAGAGGTAGTGAATTAGCTAGGAGCACAGAAGCAACAAGACATACAGGACCTTGTGGTGGGTTTTCAACTCAATATGCATGTATGTGTGATTTACATGGTGTACCATACAGAGAAGAAGTAGCTTGGGTAACTAATTGAAATATTTGGAAATACTGTATTATTATTATTAGTGAATGTTGTTTAAGAAAATTTTATTTATAGGATGTTGATACAATATACCTTTCCCATGATACAAGAGAGTTAAATTTAAGAGATTTCGATCATTTGGATCAAAAAGATTTGGTGCCAATCATTTCTGCCTTGGAATATAATACTTGGTTTACAAAATTAAGGACATCTCATCTTAAACTAAGTCATGAACCTTTGGAAAGATTATTACATGTTATGCGTAGATCTCTTTCCATTCAGGAACTTTATTTAGATAATCTTGGAATTAAGTGGTAAAAATTAGAAATATATAAATGATATAAAGTTAATTTTAATAAATAAATTAAGAAAGTGTTTTATTTTAGGGATTTTGCACACAAATTGTCATTAGCTCTAATTTCTAATGCTAACACAATGTTACAAACCATTGATCTGTCATACAATACTATTGAAGATAAAGGTAAGTATTAATTATAAAGATTTGTATACAGAGTGTCCTATTTTAGTCTATAATCCTATTTTAATCTAAGCATTTATAGATCAAAATGGGTCATACTGTATAGACTGCTTCTCCTTAGTAAATCCATGTCATGTTTTTAATTTTTTATTCTTCACTCAATTTTTAAGACATTTTTTAAGTATCCCAGTCCAATTTTTTTATATTTTTGTAGGAGCCTCTAGCTTGTGTGGGATAATTGCCAAATTAATGCAAGGTGTGCAAATAGCTATTAATGTTTCCAATGATTATTACTATTACTTATTATTTAAGTGTTTCCTCATTCTTTTATGTTTACAAATGATTCCTTACTTATAATTTTAGATATTACAACATATATTTACTTTTATAACATATATAACATATAGCTAAATGTGTTCAGCATTTATAATACTATATGTTACTATGTTTAATTTAAATATTAATGTCTATTAGGTGAATAACTCAAATTAATAAATAAACTCTTCCATCAGTAACATCACTTATAAAAATATTATTTTTAAGGAGGTGCACATTTGAGCGGACCTATTGGAAAATTACCCAAAGGTTTACAGAAATTAAACTTAGCACATTGTGGATTAACTGGAAAAGGCATAAGTCAAATTGCACATGCACTCAGTTTAAATAGAAGCATGCCAACTAGTTTACAATATTTGAATCTTTCAGAAAACTCTTTAAAAGATGACATTAATGTAAGTAGTTTTTATATAGTAATATGAAAATTAGTAACAAGTAGTTATTACAATAAATTTAAGTAAAACGTGGATAATAATTATCGTTCATTTATAGAATTTGTGCAATTTTTTGGCACAACCTAATAGCCTAACTCATTTAGATCTAAGTGGTACAGATACAACACTAGAATGTGTAAGTATTTAAATTTTGTAGATATAGATTTTAAATATAATAAATAATATTTCATATTCTTTGTTTATCTTATTCAGTTGTTTGGTGCTTTATTACGGGGTTGTGCAACTAATCTAGTCCATTTAAATGTTGCTCGTAATTCTTTTTCAAGCAAAAAGACCAAAGAAATACCTCCCAGCTTTAAGCAATTCTTTACAGCTACACTTTCATTAAAGTACTTAAATATATCTTGTTGCAAATTACCACTAGAAGCACTGAAACATTTGTTACTTGGTTTGGCATGTAATGAAAGCACAGTTGGTTTAGAACTTGATATGAGTGGAAATAACTTGGGCTCCATGGGTGCTCATGTATTAGAATCATGTATTCATGGTGTACGTTGTATAGCATCATTGGATATTTCAGATAGCAGTAAGTACGTTTTATTATAACAAGGTTTATTACAAGCAATATCTGAATTATTTATTTTATATATATCTTTTTATAGATATGGATGTTGATTTAGCACAAGTAATAACTGCTATAGGGAAAAATAAATCTATAAAACAATTGTATATGGGTCACAACACTGTAAGCATGAAAAACAAACATATTGCTGTTGTTATGGATGCCCTTGTGCAAATGCTTCAAGAAGATGATTGTGTTTTGCAAGCGCTACATTTACCAGATTCTCGATTAAAATCTGATCTCTACAATCTTATCAATGCTCTTGGTAGTAATACATGTCTTCACACTCTAGATATTAGTGGTAATCAGATAGGAGATCCTGGTGCCAGGTTATTGGCAAAAGCATTACAAATTAATAATCATCTAAGGACTATCATTTATGACAAAAATAATATTACACTTCAAGGTTATGCCGATATTGTTCATGCTTTAGAGAAGTACGTAATTCTTAGTATCAATAATGTAAAATATGTTGATATTTTTTCTGATATGTAACATCCTTTTACAGAAATTGTAGTGTAAGGCACATGCCATTTCCAATTTATGATTTGCAACCTTGTATGAAAACTTCTGCTGAGAAAACTGAACAATTAGCTAAAAAAATACAAGATCTACTGCAAAGAAATGTTACACCTTGTAAATATAGTCATGGACAAGCATTTAGGTTGCAACAAGGATTTTTGTTAAGCTCTACACAACAAATGGTTGATAGACTTGTTGTACAAACTCAAGATACTATTAAAGCTATAGCTGCAGAGAGCTGTGATGCAAATAATGACATTAATTACGCAACTGGACTTATACAAGATGCAGATAATTCGAAGCAGGTATGAAAAAATTAAATATTATAGAAATTTAGAATAAACTTTTATGAATAATATTTTTTAGCTTTTACCAAGATTGCATGAAGTTCTTCAACGACGAGATGAAAATAATCCTATTGAATTAAAATTACACGAAATGGCAAACGAACTTCATAAAGTTGTAACCATATATTTACAGGTATTTTATGATTAAGCATTTACTGTTATTCTTTAATACACAATAAATTTCAAATCTTTAAATTTAAATACAGGATTCCTTAGATGCTATGATAAAGTGTGCAAATGAGCAATGTCCTACAATACTTTCACAAACTGTAATTAGAGGTGATGAAAGTGAATCAATTGCAGTAGAAGATGATTTACGTAATAGTTGCAAGGAAAAAAATCAAATTAGTAGTGAATTCATACATACAACCATCACAGAACAAGCTGGAGCAGATATAGTTAATAGAGTCAAGTATGGATTAAGATTACCTGTTCAAAAACCAAATTTCGTCATATAAAAATTTTAATTTTAATTGATGTTTTTACAATTCTTTTTTATAGCGAATTAAATTTGGCTGTTGCTGCACATGTGTCTGATAGAATAACAGATGAAGTAATTGAATCATTATCAAGAAGCTATAAAAACTTAGTGCGTATAGTATATTTTACTATATCTTCAATAAATCCTAAAAATTATTATACTAAAAATTTTGTATTAAAATC